CCCTGGAATACATAGTGAAATGGTCTTTCAGTTGTTTTTAGCATAAATAGTATTCAGTTCTGCATCTGTACTGAACTAACAGCCAAAGTTGTTTAACTTTATTCCTCAGAAAAATATGCTTCAAATAATAAATACAAGATTCTTAACCTGACTGCTAGAATACAACTTATTTATAAATTTAGACTATAACTCATAAAAATTCCTATTAATATTATGATAAGAAATTTTATAACCATGAAAAAAACTTATCTAAAAGATAAACCCTCCTAGTTTTAAACTCTTAAAAAGTTAGTGCCAATTATTGTTATCCATACACTACTTGTGAAGAAATACAGTGGGTAGGGGGTTTCTGACAACTACAAATGTCAACTGGTTCTTTTATCTTTGGCTCATTTAAGTCAGAAAAGGCTCATTCTTTCTTGAATCTATACCATTGTGAAGAGGACTTCCTTTCTGTAGTAGTTGAACCACTGTGATTCCTTCCCTGCTTCCTGGCATGTGGGCATTGAGTATGTGTAAGAAAAAATAATTAGTCACTAACCATAGCCCAGAGTGGGTACTGACCACCAGATTTAGCATGGTTGGTTTCACAGATGAAACTAAGAGTTTGATCAGTTCCATAATTGAACATGAGGCTGAAGTGGAAAGAGGTGGAAGAACAACCCTGAATTTGAGAAACAAAAGGACACGGCTCAACAAGTAAGAAATAAATAGATTTTTGCATCCTAGGACTGGTTCTGCTCCAGAAAGAGAGAACTGCTTCATTTGCTAAACAAATAACCCAAACATGCAGTATACTTTATACAGTAAATATATTTGCTATCCTACTCTTAACAAAAACCACCGTAGGTTTGTTTGGGTTTGTTTTTGTTTTCATTTGGTGATACTGGGGATGGAACCCAGGGCCTTTTCTTTGAGCTCAAGAGCTGGGATTACAGGCATGTACCACTATGCCCAGCTTGCAGTTATTTTTAAAGCATGGCTTTTGACATGTCTATGCATTTACTTAGCCCAAGGTGAAACACCACATGGCAACTATATCTTTAGAGGACACACTTTATTTTTTTGAGAGCATCTTGCTAAGCTGCTAAATTGCCCAAGCTAGTCTTCAATTTGTGATTCTCCTGCCTCAGGCTTCCAGAGTGCTAGGATTATGGTCTTGTTGCACTGCAAACCATATCACACATTATTGTTCTCTACAAGGGCCAGTTAACTTTGCTTTGGCTTAATGGTTCCTAAATTAGTACCTGTTTCAGAATCAGGTGCAGATTTTAAAAATTTCAAATATGTAGGCCCCACTCATAGATATTTTGATCCAGTGGAATTGGCATGAATTTCAAAACTCTACAATTTTAACAAGCTTCACAGGCAATTTGGAAAATTTTCCAGGGTTGGGAACTACCACTCTAGTTTAGGGATCAGTAAACCACAGCCTCCAAGTTAAAGCCAGCCTAACACTTGTTTTTGTAAATAAAGTTTTATTGAAATGCAGACACACTATTCTCCAGGATATTATGTAGGGCGGCTTTCAGGCTATAATGGTAGAGTTGAATAATTGTGACTGAGACTATATGGCCCACAAAATATTTATTATCTGGTCCTTAATAGAAAAGGCTTGCTGAACACTGTGTTTGCCTGTTTCATAACTAATTCCTATGTGATTTTTTTTTGTCATGGAAACTATGTAAGGCAATGTATATCATCAGTAATGAAAACAACACCTGAGCCTCATTCTTTTTTTTTAATTGGTGCATGTTTGCAGTATATAATAATTACATTCATCATGGAGAGTTGGTACATGTGCATAACTCATCTTAATTCTTTTTACTTCCCCTTCCCTTTACCTTTCCTCTTCCCTCTCCTTTCCCTCCACTCTGTCTACTTCATATGAGAAAGATGATCTTTTTTTATACAGAATACCAAATTATGTAACTTTTCCTGAATTATACTGACCCCAAGTGGTAAAAATGTTTCATCACAGATGCTTAAGCTAAGTAGCTGTCCTAATCAGCTACTTGGCTGTCCTCATGATAATTCCTGAAATTGTAGTCATCTTTAGGAACTTTGTTGGAAGAGATTTTGGAAGTCAGAGTTTACTTGGTAAAAAAGAGCATGAATAAATGACCTGAGAAAAGGTCAGCAATTTTCATGAGGACTAGAATCACCTCCTTACACAGAGTTCCTTTCTCTTCAAAGACTGTAGTCCTCAACATAGCATTTCCAATTTGATCATATATTCCAAGGTGATAAATTTTCTCAGAGATATTGTGACTACTTGTGATGTCACATCTGTCTCTGAAGTTGAAGTGCAATGCTAGTGATAAGGTCAAAAATCCCCAGTGCTTTGGGAGCTGGGATGAAGGGGAAGAGGCTCAAACAGGAACACACGCTGAGCTGCTTACCAAAGGGGCCCACGCCCATGTTGTCAATAAGGAAACAGATGGCAGAGCTGAGACCATTGGTTTTTCAGCATTCACTACTAATTAAAATTCTCTGTGGCACCTTTAAAAAAATAATGATGGCCGGATCCTGGTCTCCGGAGATTCTGATCTAATTTATATAGGGTAAGGCCCAGACAGCAGCCTTCATTTTTAAGTTCTCCAGGTGACTGTAATGTGCAACCTAGGTTAAGAATAATTATTCTTGTCAGGCATGGTACACACCTGTAATCCCAGCACTTGGGAGGCAGAGGCAGGAAGATCGCCACAAGTTCGAGGCTAGCCTGGGCTACACAGTGAGTTCAGGGCCAGCCTGAACCACAAAGCAAGACCCTGTCTCAAAAAAAACAATAAACAAGAATAATGATTCTCCAGTCTCTCTCAAATTTTAAGGTATATTCAAATCACTAGGGCAGGGGAAGGGAACAGTTTTAATCTGCAAACTATAACTCATTAGGTCTGTGGTGGCACTTGAGAACCTGATTGCTAATAAGCTTCAAGATGATGGTGATTGTGCTGTCTGTGGACCATGCTTTGAGTAGCATGGATTTGGATCATTCTTGGCCACCATTTTTATGCAACCTTTTTGGTTCTGAGATCTTAACAGGCATAAGTATCATCTATGCTAAGGCTTAGATCGTCATGTGTTTGGAAGGTGACTATATTATGGGGGCATTGTAGCTGATTTGCTGTTGGGAGGTTGGGTCTGGTCAGAAGAGGCTGGCCACTGGGGTGTGCCCTAGAATGGTACATTTCCCTTCCCAGCTCCTACCTTGTCTGTTTGCTTCCTGGCCACCATGAGGTGAGCAGCTTTCCTTTGCCAGACCATTCACCATGCCTTCCTGCCTTGGAGTTGACCAACTGTGGACTAAAAGTGTGAACCAAAATAAACTTCTCCTCTTTTAAGTTGCATCTGTCATATATTGTGTCTTGGTGATGAAGAAATAATTAACGCAATCTGGGAGCTAACTAAATATGCAAACTTGGAAGTTCCGGTCTAAGACTTAAATTCACTTTATCTCAGTTATTAACAAGCATCCCAATTCTGCAATTCAAAGGAACAAATATACAATAGCAATTTTATGATTTCCTGGGTCAGGAATTTGGGCAGAGGTTGTTTGAGTGATTCTGCTTCCTGTAATGTATACTGAAGCCACTTAGCATCCAGCTACTGAGCAGTCTGGTCTGTGAAGTCCAAGATAGAGTTACCTCTTGTGCCCTGGTAAATGTGACTAGAAAGCTTGGCCCAGCCCACACTTGTCACCTGGGATGTCAACATATGAGCTCTCTCATCTGGTAGTCTTGGGGTTATAGATTTCTTTACGTGGTGGCTCAAGGCTCCCAGAGTATTCCAGGGCACTGAAAGTGGCCACCATTCTCTCCAAGCCTGGACTTAGAAACTGTCACAGTATTATTTCTGCCACAGTCTACTGCTCAGAGTAGTCACGAGCGTCACTCAAATTCGGGTTGAGGAATCATAAACAGGCTGGCTTCCTGGGCAGGCAGCCCTATGAAGAGCCCCATGCAGCCTTACAGGGCCCCACACAAAGAAGGGCTCCACACTTGGCTTAGTGCGTTGCTGTTGTTGTGTTGAAATTCTTTACAACTTTTGAACACTGGCACTACATTTTCATTTTGCGGTGGGTAACACAAATTGTTGCCTACCCTAGTAATAAACTTCACCTTTAAATGGAAGAAGGGTTAAGAAATGTGATCATCCTTACTCAGCCTCAAGCCACCTGCCAAAGATTCTATTCCTTACTCTATGTCTATGTTCAGAGTTACCCTTTCAAAATGCAGTGTGAGATAGGTGAGTTAAATTCAGCATAAAGAAGGAAAAGATACTATGAGACTGGAAGCAGAATAAACTTTACGTTTTAGGATTAAGAAACATATTAAAAACCAACCACACTATTACACTGAGTCTCTGCTAGTAGTCTGTATCGGATCACTGGATCCCTTGGTTTGGGCTCTTGGCACTGGCCAGTAGTTATACAAGGTCAGTGCACATGCTGATGTATACACAGGATACTTGATGAGAAACCTAGTGATCGCTATTGAGGAAATGTCTCCAGGAACTCAGAAACCTAGATTTGTGTTCTAAAGGTTATTAAGGACAGCAGTGACAACTAGTCCATATGATTTTTGAGAACTACAGATGGAGCCAGTGCTCCTTGTTGGCACGAATTTAAAAATCTGATTGTGTCTAAGGATTGTCCCTGGGGGTCTCAGGTTATAAAATTTTTCTTGGCTCGCATGTCTTGCTGGTCATTCTCTCTACTTGCATACTAAGAGACATCCCCTGCGGGGACACAGTAGGCACGAAGTACAGTATTTCTCACCTTTCCCAACTGCCTCTGGAATTAGAACCAATCCCAGGTCTGGGACCGTGGGAGCCACCAAAGAAACAGCAATGGCAGAGGTGGAGCAGCTGGGATGCAGGCCCTTGCTCACAGTGACGCCCGTCCGCCAGGAAGTCAAGGCGTGGGCAGGGACAGCGGAGCAAAGGCCCTGCGGGCCCCGCCCCACTCCACTGCCCCGCCCCGCCTGGCGCCCCGGCCTGCCAGTCCCGCCCGTCCCACCCACTCGCCCGCCCGCTGCGATCCTGCCGGACCCTGTGCTCCAGCTCTTCGACTTCCCGGCTGGAGAGTTTCGGCGACCACCCGCGGCATGGGCACAGCTTCCTCGCTCGTGAGCCCTGCGGGCGGGGAGGTGATTGAGGACACGTATGGGGCGGGCGGCGGCGAGGCCTGCGAGATCCCGGTGGAGGTGAAGCCCAAAGCCCGCCTGCTGCGCAGCTCGTTCCGCCGGGGCGCTGGGGTTGCGGGTGCCGGGCCCGGGTCTCTGCCCCGAGCGGCGGGCGGGGGCGGCTTGCTGGGCGCCAGCTTCAAGTCCACGGGCTCCTCGGTGCCCGAGCTGGAGTACGCGGCGGCCGAGTACGAGCGACTCAAAAAGGAGTATGAGATCTTCCGGGTCAGCAAGAACCAGGAGTTGTTGTCCATGGGCCGCCGTGAGGCCAAGCTGGACACCGAGAACAAGCGGCTGCGGGCCGAGCTGCAGGTAACTGGCCGGGCGCAACCAAGGAATCCACCCTGTCCCCTCTCCAAGCCAAGTCCTTTGCAAAGGCGCGTGGAAAATGATCCTCATTTTGAATGATCATTATTTTCTGAGCCTAAGTTTAACTCTATCAACTCCCCTTCTCTTTTTCAATTTCTAATCCATTCTTTCCGACACCTTGAAGCAATTAGCCTGAGCATTGGGAACCCGCAGATGCTACTCCGCACGAAGTAGACCAGGAAGTTCACACACCCAGACGCTGGTGACCTCTGCTGAAGCAACCTGAGAAGTCATCCTAGGAGTGTTGCTCCCCCGCCCCGACCACCTGGGATGTACAGACCTCCAGCGGGGGCTGACTGCTCAGTTTCTTTTGGAAGCACCACAACTGTAGGGTTTCAGTGATCTTGATAGGAACTGTTCTGGAAGCCTCCTGTTCTCACCATCTTAACTGCTGAGGCTGAAAACCCTCCCTAGATGTAGTCAAATTCCCTTAGTCCATTTGGTTAGTTCACTCAGAGCAGTTACCACAGGCTTTCCATTTTAGTATCCCTTAAGGTAGCATATAAGCAATAGGTTGCTTTACTGTGAGCAAAATTCTGAGACTGTGCTATTGGTTTGGGGGCCCCTTTGTGACGTTTGTTTACTCTTCTTCTTTACTAAGGGGGAGACTTCTAGACACCCCAGGTAAACCTTAAAAATTGTACTTTTTTTTCTCATAAAGATAAGAAAACTGAGGTGTAGGGAAGTTTAAGAGCTGACCAGTATTTCAAAGAAGAGGTATCAATCTCTATTATTTTAGTGTCCAGATGTCTTCATTTGCTCTAGTTCAAGCATGTTTGCATTTTTTCCATTATGTGATTGAATAAAGTAGCAACATGCAGTTGAGAACTGATAAAATAGTAGATTATTAAAATTCTAGAATATATAACAAATGTAAGAATGTAAAATCTGGAAGAAAGTTTTTATTAAGCAATAATAAGATAAATTATTCCAGGCGCTTCAGAAAACTTACCAGAAGATTCTTCGGGAAAAAGAAAGTGCTTTAGAAGCAAAATATCAAGCAATGGAGAGAGCAGCTACGTTTGAACATGACAGAGATAAAGTTAAAAGGCAATTCAAGGTAAATTTCTTACAGTTTTATCCTCAGAGTGACACAGTGTATATTATATAAGTTTATATAACACTGTGATGAATAAGTATAATAATGTAGAATTCATGGAAAGTTCTAAGAACTGGAATAAAGCACTTCTTACATTTTTGAGTTGGACATGATAAACTTGAGATAGTTTCAAAGAAAAGATGTAAAAGTGAACATTTTGATAGAGCTTTTGAAAGAAAGGAAAGCAGTGTTCTATGTTGGAAATCTTTTAGAAATGTTTGGTGATGCTGTGTGTAAAAGAACACTCCTGAGAAGGAGGGAAGTAAAAATTTGTTAAACATCATGTAGTGCCCATGACAGTTCCACAACACACACATCCATCCTGCCAGAATCCCAGTGGGCTCCAGTTAGGAAATAGTAAGGGACAGTTTCTGAGATATTCATCCTACAAAAGAGGAGATAGAGGACCAAATGAATATAATTGTAGGAATGAAAGGTGTTGCTCTTTAAAGTTGATGACACAACCTTTTGATTATGAAAAAGGACTCAAAATTCTCCTTTTAAAAAGATTTTTAGGGAGACCAAAGAAAATGAAATTCAGGACTTACTGAGGGCCAAGCGAGAGCTGGAGAGCAAGCTTCAGAGGTTGCAGGCTCAGGGGATCCAAGTATTTGATCCTGGAGAGTCGGATTCAGATGACAACTGTACGGATATTACTGGTAAATTTTTTTCCTGATTATAGTATGCTGAGCTGTCATCATAGCTATAGTGATATTGTAGAGCCAACTCTGGATTCTGCTCTGTGCCTTTTACTTGTCTATATTAGCTAGGCGGTTGCTTAGACTGCTTTTACCGAGTTGCACTTCTTAGTATCTCTGCTGCTAGGGTACCACCTTTCCTTAAAGTATGTGACGTAATAGGCTCAGGTTCTTTCTCTCATGTTGCTCTGCCAACCCAAACCCATGGCTTTTCTTGATGATCCAAGAGCTGTGACAGGACCCACCATGACACCTGCATTTTAGTCAAAGGGACACAGGAAGGGGAGAACCATTGCTTTCCTGGAAGGCACAACCTGAAAGATACATGGGTCACTTCTGCTCAAGTGCCCTTGTCCAGAGCTATACCTAGGAAGATTGGAAAGTGTCATCAATAGTGAGGGAGACATGTGTCCAAATAAAGTCTGAGCTTCTGTTTGCAGAGGAAGAGGAGAATGGATATTGGAGTTAGTATTCCCTGTGGCCTTATTTTTACACATAATGAGGTATTCTGTGCAACTGTCATTTAGAATACCGGCATTATATTTCACTGAGTGCTTTCCATTTGTAGTTTTGTGAGCTATTCATAAAGTTTTTTGCTTTATAATTAAATGTACAAAATGTATTTTTCTAGCCATAAAGAAGAGCCTGAAATCACAGAATGAAAGAGGTCACTATATTATTTATAAAAAGATTAATAAAGTATGACTAACACTGAAAAAAGGAAAAGATTCTGTATGCAGAGAAAAATATCACTTTATAAGGCACTGTAATGCTTTCTTACAAAATGATGTACTTTGGAGTAAAATATAGTACAGTGGACCCTCAAGTTACACTTGGCCTGACATACAAACAACTTGGGCTAATTAGGTTAATGGAAGATTAATCTTCCTCTTGTTATCTATAACATGTATCCAGGTAAACATTCAGATCTCAGCTGTATTGACTTACAACCTACTTGAGTTACAACCAGGCCTTGGGCACCAATCAAGTTCATAAGTCAAGGGTCCGCTGTAACTGATGACTCTTTTTTAATTTTTGTTTTAGTCCCATTGGAATCGACAAGTGTCCTGGGACTTTTATTGCTAACTTTTGAGAAAAAGATGAAGTTATTCTTAATGACCATGAGCAACTGAAAAAAATGGTCCTCATGATTGTTTCAGTGTCAGCATGTCCAAATGTGTAGTGTTTCAGAGCAATCATAATTGTCTTGGCAAGTTCACAAAAAGAATTTAGTATCTTCCTCCAGGTCTTTCTTCTTCATATTTTGAGTTTAAGTTGAAGAAGGAATGCTTCAAGGAATGTTCCCATATGAGATTCAAAAAGCTACAAATAGTAAACTTAGTTTTGTCAGAGATTTGGCCCAAAACAACAGTCCACTTATAGTTAGTTCAGGATGCCATATAGGTAGCCTGGAAAATATGATTTATTAGGGAATCATATGTTGTAAGTAGCTGTTGATTCAAATGTTAATTTTATGGTACTGGGGAGTTGAAAAGGATGTACTCCCTGTGCAGACAGTTTATATCCTAATGGACTGCAGCTATTAATTATTAGTGTATTAGGAACAATCTGTCTTTAGTTCTTTCCTTAAGATCTTAATTGATACATAAGATATAGTTAGAAATGGTTTTTATAATTTTATGTGAGAGTTTTTAGCTGCCCTCTTACTGTAATTCCTTTTTTTTTTTACTCTTGTTTCTTTTCTTCTTTCCCTTTTTAATTCCTTCTTTGAATTTGAGATGATAACCAGAATTATGTTAACTAGAACCTTGGAATTTTGTCAAAAATTGGTGGCAAAGTACTTTTAAAATTATTAAATATTTCTTGAATTTATAATATTGTAATGTTTTTAACATGAGAAATCCTGCTTAATATTTGTGGTGAGTTTTTGGACATTCAGTAAGTTGACTTTCACAAGCTACAAATGTCGTGCTCTAACAGCATCTGGAACCCAGTGTGAGTACTGGGCTGGTGGAGCCCTGGGCAGCGAACCCTCCCTGGGGAGCATGATCCAGCTTCAGCAGTCCTTCCGAGGCCCAGAGTTTGCGCACAGTTCTGTAGATGTGGAAGGCCCCTTTGCAAATGTCAACAGAGGTAATGCATGCTGCTTGCCAGTTACCTGCCTGGTGGTAGTGACTTGATGTTTTATAATCTTGCGATAGTAGAGCTTCCATCAGCAAGGCCTGAAGTTTGAAGTCTGGGTTCCTTCCATGGATGCCATTACTGACCGGGAGTGATGCAGCTGCAAATTCATGTGAGAATCAGATGCCAGCCAGCCTGGCCAACCAGGTTCTGGTACCTGTGCATCTGCGCCGAATTCTTCGGCATTTTAGTTGAGCAAGAGGAGTTTGATGTAGATTAAGTGAGAAACAATAGGTTTTAGTTTTTCTCTCTGCTTCTTTGACAGTGTTGAAGGTTAAAGCATGCCTTGGAGAAAATACAAAAAGCCCTGTTAGATCATATAATAATATAAATCCAAAGAATTTGCTTTTTAATTTTATATAGTGTTCAGAAAAGCTGGAAGAATCTGTTCAGAATTTCAGTATCAGTGTAGACCTACAAAGTTATAAGTACCTCTACTTTTTCTTAAAACTGAAAGTTATTTTTCTTTTAGCAAAATGAGAATCATTTTTTAAATTGTGCATTTTATTTAGGCAAATATATATTAAAATTTTCATATTCAGCTAGATGTGGTGGCACATGCCTGGACTCCTACCACTTGGGAGGCTGAAGCAGGAGGATCATTCCAGGTTTGAGGCCAGCCTGGGCTACATAGTGAGTTCAAGGCAAGCCTGCACTATGTAGTGAGATCCTGGATCAAAACAAAATTTTCATTCTCATTAAACCAGTGTAAGGCTGCCTTTCATTTTATATCATTTGTAAACTTGCTTGAATCTAGTTCAAGAAAAAGCAGGTAGAATAGTAGATTATTCTGGGAATGCTGACTCCTGTGAAGGAGCAGCCTAACTGCACAGCTCGTATGAGCTTCAGCAGTCTTGATAGGACGTTTGACTATGGTCACATAGTCCTGAAATCTGACTAGAACCGCTGCTACCCCAGTGAAGACCATTGGTGACAGTTGCTACTTCTAGTCCCAGAACAGAATTAGATGCTAGAGAACTGTTTCTCTTCGGTATCATTCTAGGAGCTATGTCAGTGTGAACACGAGATCAGTTCCATTCAATATGCCCGTTGTGTGTTGTCACTTTTTTTGAATCATCTTGTCAAATGTGTCTGGTAATTTTTCATGAACTTACGGAAATTTTGTTTTCAGATGACTGGGATATTGCTGTAGCTAGTTTGTTGCAGGTTACTCCCTTGTTTTCACATTCTCTGTGGAGTAACACTGTCAGATGTTACCTCATTTACACAGATGAAACCCAGTCTGAAGTGGATCTTTTCCTAAAGGTGAGGATATTTATAAATTCTGTATTCACTGCTCTAAAATGTAAGTTAATTTTATATCATATTCAAGTTACTATTGTATTTAAACCAAGAAATTTACTACTGACTCGATGATACATCTTAAAGAACAGGAAGCATCTTGGGCTTCTCTCGAGAAAATCTTGTTCGCTATTACAGTATATGCAAAGAAAGATCGATGGTGAGCCAAGGTGTTTTGTGTTTTAACTTTTTGAAGGTAGCATTCTTAGGATAGGAGCAAAAACACAAGAAGATTCTAACTAGATATAGTTGGTTGTGAATATCAGATTAAGGTATTGGAACTTTTATGTTTTTAAGTATTTCATTGCATATTGTCCAGGAGGTTTAAGACCCTCACTGGTCAGGCCTAAGTTAGTTACCTCTGCTAGTTCTATCCTTCAGACTGTTTTAGGTAATAACAAAGTTTAATCCTTGTCATGTGTGTTTTTTTTTAAATTTTTCGAGGCAGCCTTTGGAGTTATTATAAGGTAGGGGTCAGCTGACCAAAGCCCGCTGCCCAGTTTCATATGGCTCACAGCTAATAATGGTTTTCATATTTTAAATAGTTGAGGAAAAAAACAAAATAAAACAGAAGAATAATATTTTATGATGTGAAAATTATATGAAATCTAAATTTTAAGATCTATAAATAAAGTTTTATTGGAACATTAACAAGCTCATTCATATATATATATATATGTATGTGTATTTATATATATTACGTATACGGTAATATGTCTGTGGTTGCACTATAAGACATTTCAGTAGCAGAGTAAATTGTGACAGAAACCAAATAGAACACAGGTCCTTGCTAAAACAGCCAATTTGTTAAGCAGTTATTTTTGTGAAGATACTTGCCATCTGACCCTTTGTACAAAGTTTCCCTATCACTGTTCCAAGTGAATTTTAAATAAACCTGCATGTTACAAGCTAAACTTACTGTATCAGTATCCTTCAAGTGATTAATTTATTTAGCTTTCCTTTGTGATCTTTCTTAATTTGGGTAAAAATAAAAAAATATGAAATAAGGACAGTTTGAGGGTATTACAAATTTCTTACATAATAATCATTACCCAGTAACTTAATTTATCATGGACCAACATATTTTTACCAGATATCTGTCTGTTTTAATATTCTAATATATCATGGTAGAAGTTTCATACTATATATAGATCTATGGATCTGTTTTTGTTTTTTCTGCAGGGGAGGGGGGTTGACACAGAGACTTGCTATGTAGTTCAGGCTGGCCTAGTACTTGTTATGTAGCCTAGGCTGTCTCTCATTTGTGGCAATCCTCCTGCCTCAGCTTCTGGAGTGGTGGGATTACAGGCATCCACCACCACACCCAGCCGGATCTATATTTTTCATTCTTTAGAACAGTAAAAAAATAATTTACAATAGGTATAGCAAAAAGAAGCAAATGCCAAAACAAAATAGTCTAATACTTTCTCCTGTTGTTAGGATTATAAAATAAATCATTTTCTGAGCTGGAAAATAGCCATGTTGTTAATTGACTATTATGTTTGGGTGGGAGAAATTAGCCTTTTATTTTTGGTTAAAATGTGATTGTTATTTAAAATTTTTTATATTGGAAAATACCCAACACAACCTGTTCTAAAGTTTGCCTTTTAAAGTAGTATGAATCTTACTGTAACTTTGGTTAAGTACAATATGTTTTTATATAATTTAATTTGTTTATAGGACTATTCACCGAAACTTAAAAGAATGTGTGAGACAATGGGATATTTTTTCCATGCTGTTTATTTTCCAATAGATGTTAGAAATCAGTATCTCACTGTAAGAAAATGGGAAATTGAGAAGAGCTCTTTAGTTATTTTATTCATTCACTCATCTTTACCAAGGTAAGTTTTTTAAAAAGTCTATAATTTACTAATGGCATTAGCTATAAGTAGAATTAAGATGACCAAATCAACTTCAAAGAAAAGTTCTACTTCTTTTTTCTTTTTTTTAATTTATA